CTGTCACTCAACTCTGCTAAATGACATTATATGCATTATATTCATTGTCCCATAAGAATGTAATTTTATTTCAATATTAATTTTTATATTATAAAAATAGAGTCTTGATTGAGTTCTATTAAAAGTTTAAAATAAATATGAATAACTCTTCTCCTATCAAAAACATCTTCTGAAATAGAAATAATTCTCTATTTACGTTCATTTCCATGCAGTGCACATTCTTTGAAGTATTGAAAATGAAATTCGCGAACATCAATTCCATTTTAGACAATTAATAGCTCAAATCAAATTTACGATTGAAGTTTATATTCTCCAATCACTCGAGCATGCGGTTATATAATTTTATATCGTGGCGATTTTAATTGCAACGAAATAGCTCTCTAAGAGGAGCGATATTGGAATCTTTCAATAAATTATTATGTGGAATGATGACGTGCTTTTTCGTGTTTGATCTCTCATTTGAAGTTTTATAATAATTGCAAATGATGTGTCATTGAACTTTTCGTTTAGATCAATTTAGAATCATTTTAAAATAAAATAAAATAAAATAAGAAAAAGATAACACTTAAACAAATACTCTTATGGATCTATATCTGAATCTGAAAAGGTTTAGGAGATTGTAGATACTCAGCTCTAATGCACTTATTACCTCGGATCATAAAGAGAAGGGTAACTAATCATTTTATCTCATTCATTAGAAAGAATCCATTACTATTTCGTTTTGGACTATTCAGATCATCGCCAAAATGCCATTAGAATGTTGTAGTACTCACCGTTTGTCCAATTAAAGCAAATATGCTGAGTTTTAGTTCTTACCTGCAAAAAAAATAAACAAAATTAACAAAAATCTATACAAAGTGCCAAATCATTTTATGTATTTAATTTGACTTTCGGATATGAGTGACTTAAAGCAATTAATCTCTTATAAAATGTTTATAATTGTTACATAAATATACAGGGCTATGACCTCTTAATCCCTGTGGGTACTACTGAAGGATTAAAAGAGACTAAATGAGGATAGATTAGTTTTATAAGAAACAATATTAATTTCTTTATGGTACGGTTGGATAAAGAATTTGGGCTGTCGCCAAATTGACGTGTGGTTTGAGTTTTTAAAAATAATTTAGGGATTATTTATATGTTTTGAGAATGAATAAACTTTTAAGGACATTGCATTTCTATAATTATTTTACTTTACAAGTTTAAAGTGACTAAGCTTTTGTGTTTTCAAATGTATTTGTGTGATTAGTACTTAATTTAACTTTAGACTACTATTTTTTTTCTTGAATACCTATTTGAATAGTTTTAGTATAAATTTCAAAATAAAATGCATAACATAAATAATTGTTTGTTGCTTTAGATTTAAATTTCAGATCAGATTTGTGTTTTTGCTTCTTGCAAGGTGTTCAATTTATATTTAGTTCCCTCCCGAAAATGTTTTATTGTAAGTAACTAAAAAATAATTTTCAGGAATTTAGTTATCTATAAATATAATTTTCTTTAATGTACAATCGTTTGTTTAAACTGGGTATTTATTGTTTCATTAATATTGGTAAAATTAAATAATACAAATAATCTTTTTTTTATATTAAAATATAATTTTTCCTCTTCTTTTAGGTACTAACTATTTTTTTTTATTAATAAATCGTCATTTATTTTAGGGATATTGCAGCTTATTTATAAATAAAAACATTTATAATCAACGCATGTTCATATACTTGGTTTACTGGTTAAATGACCTTTTCCTTCATACAGTGTCGACCACTGAACGTTTTCCAATACGCTTTACACAAGTGAATGTGAAAACTACAGAAACTTTGGCATTGGCGCGAACAGGAAACGAATAATATCAGCATTGCCAGTTTATATGGCCCGACCGAGATGTAGGGTTGGCCGGGCGTATTGAAAAGTGTTCGATAGCCGATACTATATAGAGGGTGGTGTTCTGAAAAGCTCTTTAAAGAATGAAACCACGAAATATAGAGCTAAATCGTCATAAAATCAGCTCTATATTTCGTGGTTTCATTCTTTGAAGAGCATTTCTGGACATCCTGTATATAACTTAGGATATCTATAGAAAAATAATAAATATCGCGATTTTCATAAATAAAACATTTCAAGTGACTTACATCTGAAAGTATACAGATGATGACGTAACAGCTTCGCGCTCTGAGTAAAAAAATTGGGAAATCTGCTATCCTCTAATAGTCTAGTACTAGTATATAGTCCTTGGTTACTAATAATTTTGTCAAGGGTTTTCTTTGGCCAAAATCGTTTGGTAAGTAGTAACCCTTTTGTAAGCGTACTATCTTTATGTTGCTCCCTGTTTTAGATGATAACAAGACGCCACTGGTTTTTTACTTCAAGGAACCATTTAAAAAATGCAGAGAAAGTTTAAAGTTTAATAACGGAATTAGAATAGATTCGGATTAATTGAGGGCAGGCAATAAAGTGCTAGATTTATTTAAAGAATACTCCGATTAAACCAACTACATACTGAATATATTTACAATAAATCGCTGGATATTACGGCGGTCTTGTAAAAATATTGGGTAATTCTAGAGACTATTTAAGGAAAAAATGTCTTAAAAAGGCATTTTTATAGGTGACGAAAATGCTCATACGTTCTGAAGATATTTGATTTTTATATGCTGTTCAAAAAAAAATAAAATTAAGTTTACCAATATTATTTAAATAACAATTTTAATTAATATAATTTATTGCATTCCAAAGACTCGAGTTTGTTTATATCTTTGAATCACATCTCTTCACAATTTTTATATATTAATTTCTCTTATTTCTTTGTCTCTTTACGCTCAGTATATTACTTCATATCTTTTGCTAATATCTTAATATTCCTTTCAATTACATGACTCTCTTAAATTTTCGTAAATAGTTTCTTTATGGTGGCCCTTCGACACATTGTAAAAAAGTATAGAAACCAATTAATTCATACACACTATTCTATTTGAAAGAAGTGTTATGAAAACAAACTTGACCATAATTTTTTTGAAAGAGGTGTTTTGCTTTGTGTGGACCAAATATGCGTTAAGATATCGGACTAAAGCAAATATCTCAAAAAAAATAATTTGTATTTAATTAATTAATTTATTTGTTCACTCACATTTTAATTAACTTTAATGTTCTTCATTTTATTATCATTTAAACAGCAGTATGTTATTTTTAGTCCCTTGCTATATAATTTCATTTCATTACAATATATAAGTTTAATAATAAAATTTTGCTCTCTATTTTTCAGGACTATTCCTAGATGCATTTTGGACAGCAGCAGTTCTGTTTTAATCCTACATAAAATTTGGTATCCTGATATTATTTTTTCCCAAATTGATCTTTGTTCAAAGTATTTATATCTTTCCATGGACTCTAATCCCACTATGTGACTGTTGCACATCGGAATTTGCAACGATTTTTCAATAATTTCGTTTTTTTTTTGTTTTTAAATATTTTTTTTACTGTTCTGGCATTTCAACAATAAAGATAACATATTCAATTTCACATTTTAATTAGATGAGACACAGGTATTTATGATAAATAGTCAATTTGCTGGAAGTTGAAATAATAGCGATATGCTGCATATCTAATTTCCTACAGTAGATAATGAACATGATGAGATAAACGTGTGTATAGAAAAAGCTGAAACACTATTAATTACATGAAAGAGGCTGCTCCCTATTACTTGAGCGACCTAGTTATTCGATGCAACTTGGAAGCATTATATAAGAATGAAATAAAAGGGTCTCCTCTAGAGGTGGCTGAGGCATAAATAACGGTAGCTGTTGGAATTTGCAATGTATGAATTAGAAGAAACAATGTTTACTGAACAGGAAAATAATCAACGTACATGAAGTAATATTTTTGAATAATCGCAATGCCATGAAATTAAATAATGGTATGCACCATGGATCAGTGCTTGTCCCAGTGTTTTAAGTTCCAAAGTTCCAAGTATAATTATAGCAAAGAAAATCGGATATTACTCCCTTTAATCAAGAGAGTATCTGAGAGAGAGAAACAGAGAAAAAAAGTTTATTTGGCAAATAAACTAGCAATACATAGGTAACAATAGTAACAAGTTACATACAGTTAAAACAAATTAACAGTAACAGTAGCAGATGTATGTGAAAAATATATGTTTTAATTTTTATCACTTAATGGTATTAATTTATTAATAGTATATTATGCAACGATCATGTATTAATAGCCATTACATAAGAGTTGCATACATTACTTTTTCTACGACCAAAAACTATTTTAATTCAACAACATTGCTTTATTTTTTTAATAAATAAATAGCATAACAAACAGGTTTAGGTGGCCCGGAAGAACAAAAGGTTGAGTACAGCTGTTTTAGAACAATAAAGGTAATTATCAAAAACATGTTCTTACTTATTTATGTCTCACTCTGTAAAGGAAAATAATTTTTGACTCCTTTTTATATTCGTAGAATGCCAAAAGATATTACAATAAGATTTGACACAAAGACTTATAATCGATTAGCTTTATCCTGAAATAACCGTTATCAAATAAGTTTAACACCCTGTATCTCAAAAATCAGTCATAGGATTTGAATGGCCATGGACACTATTGCCTAAAAGATAGAGAACTGCAACATATCAACAATTTATGACATTATTTAACAGGTGGCCACTTTTCCATAAGCGGTGTGCGGAGTCTTTTGTCTAAGTATGTAACCAAGAATGCGTATTTTAAATTCAGCATGATTCTAATTTTTAAATAAAGTAAACGGTAGATAATTTTCACTAGTTCGTTGGCAAGTCCTATTTTGATTCACGCCGTATATTAACGCACTGCAAATTTCAAGTTTCTCTGTTGCAGTTGTTTAACGTTTAAATAAAATTAATAAAAAGTCATTGATCGATTTCAATTTCATTAAAAAAACGATAAGAAATTTAATTAGACATTTTAATCGGAAAAGACACGGTTAAAAATAAGCATTAGTAAATACATTTTCATTCTCATAAAAAGTAGGTTTGGTTATTTTATTTCGGTTAAGAAATATATAAAACGAAAGTTAAAAATATTTTTCATCACATGTTAAGGTACAGTATATTTTGTGTTATAATATAATTTCATTCTATGTATTGCATCTTGTTCTTTGGCTTGCTATTATGATATACAGGGTCATTCTATATGGGCGGAACACTTGATTGATGGCTTAACTATGACTTGTACGATAATTTGACTTAGATAAAAGTTTTTGTACATTTTATGTACTATTTATTGACGTTTACAGATTTCCCGCATACGTAATGGTTTTCAAGATATGACGTCATCAGGCAATATTTTAAATAAGTCTGGGACCCACTTAATGCACCATTGATGAAATCAGACAGATCATACGAACTCGAAAAAAAAAATATAAATACAGGGTGATCCATTTAAAATATTGCCCGATGACGTCATATCTTGAAAATCATTATGTATACAAGAAATCTGTAAACGTCAATAAAAAGTACATAAAATGTACAAAAACTTTTATCAAAGTCAAATTATCGTTACAAGTCATAGTTAAGCCATAAATCAAGTGTTCCGCCCATATAGAATGACCCGGTATAATTTTTTGTTATTGTGTACAACTCAACAAGTCTAATAATTATTATCCGCTGATCAGTGGCGTAGCCATCCATTTTTCATGTGAGGGGTTTCTGAGAACTATGGGGGGGTTTCCATCAAGAAAGTGAATAAAAACAAACAGTCAATAGCGATAGAGCCAATATTATAGCGGAAATAGTGCCGCAAGGGGACCCTTCCTGGGGGGGGGGATTCTGACCCCGAAACACCCTGTGGCTACGCCACTGCCGCTGACAGTTATTTCGTTTTCAATTTATTCGCAGAAATCTTCTGTATCACTCTCCATTTAATTCATTCTTATTACAACACATACTCCTTCCTGTATTTGCATATACTGCCCTTTTTTCATGTTACTGGTTGTCACTTTGTCGTTATTAATGGTTCTTTCCGAATTGTGTCTTGCATGAAACTTAAATATTTAAACTCTACAAAACTGAAGATCACTTACTGGCATAACCTAAATATTTTGAGTAAGTTAGGTTAGAACAAAATTACTCATTGATCAACTTTTGATTGTAGATAATATTAATAAACGTTCCTTGAGTGTATTAAATTAGAACGAAGAAAGATGCTTCGAATTTTAGGTCAATGTGATTATTTCCAACTTTGTCTAAAATCGTTAAAGATTAAAAAATAGGATGCTCGAATTTCTAACAAAATATGAAATTTTATCTACATATCAAATTTGTTTACAAGCTTTGAAGAACACACAAGATGCTGTTTATTTTTTTTTAATATATTTACTCTTACTTAAACTAGAGTGAAAATTTAGCAATAGTTACTGCGATTTTTCAAAGGCGTTTGACCACATCAGACATGAAACAGATTTTATAAAACTTTTCATTTATAGTTTCCAAAATGCAACATTACGACAGGGATGGTTTAATTTATCAAACAGAAGACAAATAAGAAAGTTGTTCAATATATTTTCAAATACTTTGAAGTTAAACACGGCGTTCCGCAGTGATCAGTTTTGAGAGCTATCTTTTTCTTAATCTATGTTATTGATTTAACTAAAATTAGCCTCTCAGGAAAATGTATTTCTTTGACATAGAAGAGATACAGTTAATCTGAAATATGTTGTGTTACATGACCACCATTTTGTTAAGTTTTATGACAAACAATACAAACGTATGATGGTAAATTTGAATATCATGACCTCCAACTCGGTAAATGCCGGAGAGGCTAGCCGCGAGGTTAGTGTGCATCCACTTACTCGCAACAGTTAAGCAACAGTTAGGCAGTGATCTCTTCGGTCACGTCGTGGATGGGTGACCGCTGGGAGGTTTCACCATGGGCCGTGTCACCATGGGATTCATCCGACTAGCGTTTAACCATCGACGACGTGGAATGAATGAGGGTGTGAATGGGAAAGTAGTAGGACCTTCAAATGGTGGTACAATAAGCCGCAAGCTGCAATGCTGCCAGACTACAGACGGGTTAGGGTGTAGCACGGGAGGTCTCAAGGGTGTAAAACTTAAAAAAAAAAAACTCGGTAAATAGTTGATTTATAATACAAGATTTTTAGGCTAAAGTCTTGCAAACTTAAGCACAAAACTGGCATCTGGCTGTTTTGCAGTTAGGGTTATTTTTACCAGTAGACATCTATTTGAAGTATGGAATTGTATTCTGAGGAAAATGTGCACAATATATTCTACTTCGGTAACAGTGAACATTAAGATCTATAATTAAAATTTGTATTTAACTTTGTCCATGAAATATTCTCTCTCTCTCTCTCTCTCTCTCTCTCTCTCTCTCTCTCTCTCTCTCTCTCTCTCTCTCTCTCCATTTTGTTTGCGTATCGGTGTCGGCGGATGAGATCTTCTGCTTTGTCTCTTTTATTCTAGCTTCATATGAATATTCTTATTTCTGTTGCTCCTTATAGAATTGCACTCGATCCAAGAAAAATATATGCCGATTATGTTTATTGTTATACATCGTGCTGTATATCACTTGACAGATAGAGATATAGAAACAAAATAGAAAGCCGAACAGACATGCGCTAGACTTGATTTGTATCAATTATAACATTATTTTTAAGTAGTAATTACGTTCATTCTTTTTTTGTAGGAGACATTTCGAATTCATTGCTGTAATGATGCTTTTAATTATAACGATTGTATTGATCGTAGTAAAATATGGATTACTGAAGAAAGTAGTAGTAAAAAACGACTATATACCATTGAAGAGAGTGTGTAAGCGTCCGCGTACTCAGGATGACGATCCGTGTAGAACACAAACGAACGCTTTGATATCATTAAGGATAATATCTCCTTTTAGTTCTAATTATTGCGCAGGCAGCTTAATCGCTCCGAAATGGGTATTGTCCTCAGCCCATTGCTTTAAGGATCTAGACAACGGACCATTCTTTGCTATTAAATCTAATGATGCATATAATAAATATTTAACAACTAGCTTAAAACCTTCTAAAGTACAAAAAGTATTTATTCATCCTAACTATACCAAACTAGATCATCAAAATGATATAGCTCTGGCAAAATTAAAAACTGGCTTCAGGGGTCCGTATATTAAACTAAATACTGTTAAAGGGACTGTACCATGTGAGGTAGTTACAATGATTGGAGTGGGGCGGACTAATTTGAAATTTTCATTTGAGAAACCTCCTAAACCAATATGTGTAGACGTATCAATGATAAGCATTCCTCACTGCTCACTACAGAATACAATTCCTGCTGAATTAATGGAGGGGAAGTACTGTACGACCACAGGTTGCTATAAAGGCGATTCAGGAGGACCACTTTTATGTAACGATATACAGGTTGGTATTGTGTCTACAGATGTATCCGTCAATAAGCCAGTACTTCATACAAAAGTTGATATCTACTATGAAAGTTTTATTAGACCAACTATAAAGTCTAATCCTGTTGTTAAACATGTTAATGTTAAAAAGAAAAGTATTATCAAAAAGAAAAATAATGTTAAAAGGAAAAGTAATGTTAAACAGAAAACTGTTGTATTATAATCTGTCAAATAAATATTTTTTATTGTATTTTCCTTATTCCTTATTATCCTCTTTTCTAGTAGTACAATCAATCATTCAGTTTTTTTAAAATTACATTGAAAAGTGTGAATTAACTATAGAGTAAAACTATAGAATAAAACTAAAACTTTACTATAGAGTTAAACTATAGAGAGAAACTATAGAATAAAACTATAGAGTAAAACTAAAACTATAGAGTTAAACTATAGAGTTAGAGTTAAACTATAAAGAAAAACTATGGAGTAAAACTATAGAGTAAAACTATAGAGCTAAATTATACAGTAAAACTATACGAGTAAAACTACAGAATAAAACTATAGAGTAAAACTATAGAGTAAAACTAAACTATACAGAAAAATTATAGAGTAAAACTAATACCAATACTGTCACTTAAACCATTCCTAGCCCGTTGAGTTTTGAAGTAAATTCAACTCTTCTTCGTGTTTAAATGTTAAGGCTCTGTTACAGTATTCGCAAGATGGTTGGATTTCGCCTTCTAGTAAGGGTGTATCCAATTTTGACTTGCCTAATAATATTTTCTTTTTTAGATAGATAGATGATTTCGAAATAGTGGCTAAATTTCCTGAAGTTTTTAACTAGTAATATTGTATCAATGTTTTTTTCATTGATTATGTACCCTACGACAGACTGTGGTTTTTAAATCTTTACCTGTTTGGATATTTTCTGATTATATTTATCTAAATAGCTTCGATATCAGTACGATTAGTGACTTTATCTTTGTATCTGCAACGTGTGGAGGGTGGGTTACCCCCCCCCCCCACAGCACTTAGGCCTTACTAGGCTCACATCTAAGCTAGTGAGCCAGCCTGCAGATTTAAAGTAGTTGACAACGTTGCTAAGAGGTACTTCATTAACAGAAACTAAACGTTGAGTACACAAGGTTTGAAGGGTTGGCAGAGATACCAGTAACGTAAGAAGAAGGTGTGGACGTCTAAATCAAAGAGGGGGTATTTAGCTTCGCAATGCAAGATTTCTACGGTTCTAAAATGTCTAAGGCACAGTTGTAAAGCAGTGTTTTAAATGGTTTTAAAAAATCTAAAGTGATATGATCTTAAGAGGCAGAGAGGACAGTCTACTCATGATCTTATAATAACTCTATAGATCCTAATTATAGTAGTTTGATCAGCACCCCACTGATGGTGGGCCAATCTTTTTAATAAATTAATTCTTTTTATGCAGTCACTTTTGTTTTTTTACTTCCCTCGATAAGAGGGTAAAAAAGTCACCCTTCGAGATTATTTAAAATTTTCACGTTTTGGCGTCCCCAGATTACAAAAAACGTATTTCCCCATTCCGTTAATCTGTCAGTCGGTGTCTGTCGGCATCTGTCGTCGTTTGTCGTCGTTTGTCGTCGTCTGTCTGTTGGCACCATAACTCAAAAACGCTTTTATAGAAAAAATTCAAATTTTGTATAGAGATATGGTTTCTTTCTGGCTCAAAACCAGTCAGTTATATAGAGGATAAGTAATTTTAAAAAATAATTTATTTTTAAAAGTCGGCAGATTTCGACTACAATTGGTATCTGAGTACTTTAGAAGTCACAGATAAGATATCCTATGTATTTATTAATTTCTGTTTCACTTTCTGTGGATTATAGCAGTTCTGGGTAAAATATTTTAACGATTTATTTTTTATATGTAACCTTCAGGAAAATTTACTGTCAAAAAATATTTTGCAACTGTTTACTGTAGTTATAGGAAGACACTCTAAGAAACATATTTATATTTTGACCCTTGCATATATAATAGCCTTTACAGCTGGATGGATAAAGATAAATTAAACACATATCCTTGCGAAACACCACTACTTAGATGCTGGCCAAAGGAAGGTTTGCAACTAGCCATTACTCTAAAGCAGTGGAGGCTCCGCGAAAACAATAACAAAATTTTCAGCTACAATACTAACAACATCTTGGTTGTCATGAATTAGATCATCTTCATTAGATAAAGTTTCTCTATTTTTCTTTCTGTTTCTGTTTCTACGATGTCTATTTATTGTCACGATTCGTATAAATTCATATTTTTCCTAATTTTACTTAATTATTTAAATAACATTCTGTATATAAAACTTTGTTTAATTATGTCAACAATTTGTTTTAAATAGCAATAATGTGCAAGGTTGGTTATTTAATAATTATTAAACATTAGTTTTAATAACAATAAACTAGGAGAAAGTTATAAAGGTAATGTCGAGGGGATGCACGAGGCTTTTTCCACAGGGAACGGACCCTATCCATAGGAGATCCCCCTTGTAGGAAATTCCCAGTAGCAGCTCTCCATAGTTTAAATTAAAAGTCTTTTTTTCTTTATATTTTAAATCGCAGTTTTAATGGTTAGGCAAGAGTTGTGACATGTGCCCCAATTATTTGTTGGAGTGGTAAGTTTACGTTTTGTGTACTTATTATTATATTGAGCCTGTATTTGTGTATGTCGAGTTAAGACATATTTTTTACAACCATTGTATTTATAATATTATACTTGTTTTGAGAACACTGTGTTTTCTTCAGCCCTTAGATTAGGTTCTGATATTAAGAGTAGAACCCTTATACAGTTAAGGGCTACGAAGCCAAGTTTAAGGCTAAATAGTGTTTATGTGATTGAGGCCCAAATTCATATATTTTGTTATTTAACCCCCGGGACATAGATAGTCCCATAATTATTTAAGAACACGTAAATCGTGACATTTCTTTATAAAAACCAAGCTTAACGTGACATTCTTTATAAAAACACGTAAAACATGACATTTTAATTATAAAAACACGTATAACGTGACATTATGAATATGTAATTTTTATATTTAATAAATAAAAAAAAACCAATGATCAATTTCAATTTCATTAAAAACACATAAAAAATTTAATTGGACATTTTAATTAGATTGGACATAGTTAAAAAAATCATTACTGCGTTAATAAGTAAATGTTCATTCTCCTAAAAAGGAGAGAGTTGTTAAGTTTAATTTTTATAATTTTTAGTTCTGTTGATAATTTCATAAAACAATAATCAAATACATTTTTCAGCATTTAAGGTACAGTATCTTTTGTTATAATAATTGGATTTTGCATATATTATATAGTTGACGAAGCATAATAAGCAGGTTGGTTTGTATATCAATAATTATTATCCGCCAATAAAGATCTTTTTTCTCATTTATATACCCACAAGAGAATTCTCCAGTTGATTCAGTTGACTTATTTCAGACTTAACTCCATCCAATATTTGAAAATATTTTCCCCTTTTACATTAATTTCAATGCCATTTTGTTATTTTTAGTAATCCTTTCTATATAGCTTTCTTTTAGTACTCTTTTTTGAGAATTGTTCCAGAATCCTGCGCAAAATACAATAGCCTTTAATTCAAAACAGTTCTGTAACAGTTTAATTTATACTCAAAATCAAAATAATATCCACTCCATTATTGTTAAATGTAAGTAATTGAACCAATAATATTTCATTAACACAAACAACAATACTTAACTTTTAACAGAGCAACTCCAGAAGAACCGGATAGAGACACAATGCTATTGAATAGACGAGGTTAAATCAACATACTCTCTTTATTCTTCTAACGTTTAAATATAATGAAGCATATCATCTTTATTTTATATAATGTGGAACAGCAAAATGCGATAAATTCGGTAATAAATAAATAGGAGAGTATTCTGAAAAACGCTCGGACACATCGATTGGTATTTTTAGCTGCACATTTTTTTTTAATAAAAACTTTTTATGTAGGGTGTGTCATGTAACAGTGGCCAATACCAAATTTCTTATTTTAAATGCAACACCCTATATATTTTGTAATTTTTGGAATTTTCTGAAAATTCCAGACATTCTAGACATTCACCCAAAGTTGTCATTAGCATATAAACATTTGCTGACAATTTCAATTTAAGAAGTAGTTTGCGGGAGAAGTTTTTCCAAACTGAAGTACTTGAAAAACAGGCTGAAAGGAGTACTCTCAGTCAAAACCGACGACATATACAAAACGACATAATAAATACAATAGAAAATGACGACGTCATTGACTGTTTATGGAAGAACCAGTATTTCATTATAAAAGAAACTTATTTTGACTGCAAAACTTTATAGAGTTTTCCATTGGAATGTTCAGTACTCTCTGAATGTATTTTTACTTTCTTCTTTTCCATATCGATAAACAAGGACACAAATATGTTAACAAAATTAAGAGTTCCTTTTCAAAATTTGACATAAATCTTATGTATTTTTTTTTGTATTCTTTATTGATTTATATAAATTGGTATTATTTCTTGATTTATATTATAATACTTTATTTGTTTTTGACTTGTTTATGATTTGTTTTTGATTTGTTTTTGATTTGTTTTTGATTTGTTTTTGATTTGTTTTTGATTTGTTTTTGATTTGTTTTTGATTTGTTTTTGATTTGTTTTTGATTTGTTTTTGATTTGTTTTTGATTTGTTTTTGATTTGTTTTTGATTTGTTTTTGATTTGTTTTTGATTTGTTTTTGATTTGTTTTTGATTTGTTTTTGATTTGTTTTTGATTTGTTTTTGATTTGTTTTTGATTTGTTTTTGATTTGTTTTTGATTTGTTTTTTAATTTGTTTTTGATTTTATTTTATTTTTGAAAAATAAGGCAAACAAAAAACTTAACAATTTTTTTTTATTTTTATCTGAGTTTTCAATTAAGTTTATTTTCAAAATTTGATACCTATGTATTTTTTTTTTTTTTTTAAATAAAGAACACATTTCAGGGTGTTCGATAAATACGGTACATAACTTCAGAAAATAAAGGTATTTTTGTGATATACACATATACACTATGTCTCAAAAATGCTTCGTTACGGAAATAGAGGGTGTGAAAGTTTCATAAAAAAATTCAATGTTTTAAATATTTCCAAAACCACTTAAGATATTTTAATCAAACTAATCGCTGAAAAATATGGAAGGAAAAATGTGTTACGCCACTGTTCTGTTTTTAATGTTCGATTTGGAAGAAAAAGCAACAAAGACAGTAAATTGTTTCATTCTTTTTTATTATTTTTAATCTCTTTGAACAATGTACAACAAAAAAAGTTATCTTCAATTTTTTCCAGGTACTTGTTCGACATTTTACTAGTTGCCAATTGTTTATTTATTTGTATGTCAGACATTAAAATGAATAAATTCACTAATGCTGAAATGGCTCAAATGCACTTCATTTATGGCTTAGCAAACGGGAATTCAGCGAAAGCTAGAAGAATTTATCAGCAACGTTATCCGAATAGGGTAAACGCAATGTGCTAAAACATTTAGAAAGATACATGCCAGATTAAATGAAACCGGTAGTTTTGAGCATAATTGGGGAGTTCTGGTAAACCACAAACAGTAACAACGACTGAGCTAGAAGAAGCTATACTACAGGAGATAGAAGAAAATCCTTCAATAGTACCAGGAAGATTGCACAACAGCTTCAAGTGCAAATAATGTTTGGTGAGTTTTGAAAGTCTCTCTGCTTTACCCATATCACATACAACGAGTACAAGCTCTGCTGCCCCGCGACTTTCAGCCAAGGCTAAATTTTAATAGGTTACTCCATAATGTGGCTCATATCTAAAAATTTTTGACCCTAATTTAGTCTACTGATGAGGCAACTATTTCGCGAGAAGCAATTATTAATTTTCATTATAAACATTTATGGGCTGAGGAGAATCCTCATGCAATAAGAGAAGGTCGCTTTCAGCAAACATTTTCACTAAATGTATGGATAGGGATTATTGATGACCATCTTATTGGACCATACTTTTTACCCCCTCCACTGAATGGCGATTCGTATACTAAGTTTTTACACGAAAAACTAAATGATCTGTTAGAAGAAGTGCCTCTGCAAGTAAGAGGAGATTTATGCTTTATGCACGATGGTGCACCAGCCCATTTTAGCCTTCTTGCCCGCCAATACCTAGACAACACTTTTCCTAATCGGTGGATTGGACGCGGAGGTCCTCAAGCTTGGCCACCATGCAGTCCCGATCTTATTCCCTTGGACTTTTATTTATGGGGTCACCTTAAATCACTCGTGTATGAGACACCTGTATTAAATAAAAATGATTTAAGAAATAAAATAATTTAAGGTTGAAATACTATAAAAAATACTCCAGGAGTTTTTGAAAAAGTAAGACAATCAATGAGAAGACGATTGGAATCGTGCGTTTTATCAGAAGGTGGCCATTTTCAACATATACTTTCATTCTTTGTTATAAGTAATGTTTATATAATTTTTATTAGTAGTTAAATTAAATAATAAAAAAAAATAAAAATCTCTCTGTAATTATTGATGAAAAAAGTCAAGGGACCTTTTTTCTTCCAAATCGAACAATCAAAAAATATAAAAATTGAAAAAGAACAGCGACGTAACTAGTTTTACTTCCATATTTTTCAGCTATTACCTAGTCCGCACGCCACTGGTTAAACTATGACAAAAATACTTTTATTTTATACGCTCCCGAAGTTATGTACCGAAATTATCGAAGACCCATATTTAAATGGCCTTGCAATTACTTTTAGAAAAAAAAGCCTTATTAAGTAAAGACAGCAGAGCAGACAGGACTATTCCTCCCATTTATTTATTACCGAATTTATTCCATTTGGCTATTCCCACTGTATATCGTACCTTATAGTAGCCTGGTGCGAGAAAAAACGGACAGAGAGAAAAAGGGGGAGAGAGCGAGGAAATAGACAATATGGACAATATGACTTGTTTTTGACTTGACTCACTAATTGAAAGATAACTCAAGTAGTGAGTGAAGTCTAGTTATAATATCAAAGTCAAGTTGTAAACCTTAACCATTTTTTTTAGGAAACATTTCAAGTTAGTACCAGTAGTGATGCTGTTAACTATACCATTTATTCTATTGATCGTAGTAAAATATGGACGTTTCGATCAAGCATTACAAATAAACTTTGGCTCCAGTCCATCCGAAGAGTGTACGCGTATTATGGGTGGCTATACTTGCAGGTCGCAACCGAAAAATGTAGGTGACGATTTGATACAGCTAAAAATAGTGTCTCCTCGAACTAAAGGTTATTGCGGTGCCAGCTTAATCGCTTCGAAATGGGTATTGTCCGCAGCCCATTGCTTTTACGATCTAGACAACGGACCATTCTTTGCTGTTAAAGTTAATAACATACATAAGGTGAAGCCTGTTAAAGTAAAAGAAGTATTTATTCATCCGGAATACGAAACAAAACATTACCGAAATGATATAGCTCTTGCATATTTAGAGACTTCTTTGAGGGGCCCATTTTTAAAAATAAATACGGTTAAGACAGAATTGCCATGTACAATTGCTACAGCTATGGGAATGGGGAGACTTGGTACGGATCCTTCGGCAAAGAATCCCTCTGAACCCATGTGTTTAAACGTATCTATGCTAAGCATTCCTCACTGCTCATTACTGAATGGAATTCCTACTAGATTCATGGAGAGGAAGTACTGTACGACCCCAGGATGCTATCATGGTGATTCAGGAGCACCACTTTTATGTAACGATATACAGGTTGGTATCGTGGGGACTACAGACAAAAAGGCTACCAAACCGGTCCTTTATACAAGAGTAGACATATTTTATGAGAGTTTTATTCGGCCAGTAACGAAGTATGAACTCTAAGTGGAAAAGTAATTTTAAAACGAAAACTGTAGGTCAAAGAACACTTAATTGTTTTTTTTTATCTTGCTCATTGTATCTGTTTTAATTTGTCAAATAAATATTTTATATTGTGTTTTTTTTAGTCCTTATCATACTCCTTTCTAATAGAGCTGTCATTCATTAAATATTTTTTTACGATCACTATCCAAAGTATGCTTTTGCACATTCAAATCTAACTGGAAAGTTGACGTTTTCCATGATTTGTCATAGTTTGACGTTATTGCCGCATATAGGCAGATAATTACTTTTTCCTACGACCACTTAGGAAAGTGACACATATCACACTATATGGTCCTATGGAAAGTGCCCTATATCACACGCGTATGAATAAGAATTTACTTTCCACCCGATTAGACCCTTTTGGCTTTCGTTCTACGTATGATTTTTCTGTTCAACGTTAATAGAAATTTAATCCCCCACTCCCCCGTTTTACCCTGAGACCGTATGTCTTACTCTTACCCATTGAATATATTATGTACCTCTCACTCTTAAACATTGAATTCCATGTGGGCCCATAGTAGCTTTGTCTATATACTGGGCTTATGTTAGGCTATTACTAAATACTTAAATTCATAAACTCTATGTAAAAAGTGACAAAAATAACGTTTTAGGTATTATATATATATTTTTTTTAATTGCCCATAACAAAAATGCATAGTAAGAAAAACCTGATTCACAAAACTATAAAAACTAGGAAGTAAAAAAAGTTAGATTAATTTTGGTAAAATACCCTTTTTCAAATAATTGAACAGCTTGCTCATTAAGCTTTAAAGTAAATACAATCTTTCTAAACTTAACCGCACTGTTACTGTATTCCCAAAGAGGTTTGACCACCTTATAGTAAATGTTTGGGAATCAATCTCGTTTTTTTAATTCTGAGTATTCTAAAGATGACACTTTCCTTCTCAGACAAGAAAAACATTTCAAAATGGTGCTCAGGTGGCTAAAATTCTCGTTTTGAATTAGAAATATTATACCAATAATTTTTGCCATTGATTGGCTGAATATGGTTTTTAAATCTTTAATTGTTTGGATATTTTTTGATAGTATATTCATCCAAATATCTTTTTTTCCTTTGTATGATTAGCTTCCTCATTAGCCGATTTGAAGGGTTTAAATGAAGGATGTAAAGGATTTGAAGGATTGGTGGAGATAGCAACACTGTAAGAGAATGAAAACAAAACTCACGTCTAAGCTATAGAAGGGTAACTTACCTTCACAACACAAGCTTTATAGGTACCTAACTTATTCTAAAAGCTTTACACAGTTTTGAAGGGTAGTCTTTTGAACTATTTTTAAGTGGCAACTGCAGGCAAATTTTAAATAAACCTGTCATAGTCTAGTTTTGATCTTAATATTTATTAATTATTAGTTTCATCAGCATCCTACTGATTGTGGGCCAATAATTTTAATAAATTAGTTATTTTAAAGCAGTCGCCCTTGGTTTCTTAGTTAAGTATCTTCCAGGATAATTTACTGTGAAAAACTACTTCTAATATTTTATAACTGTTCACTAGTCAAAGAAAGAATTTTTTTTTTAGATATAACTATTTTACAAAATATGGTTTATTAATTGTATATTCAATTGCGATATTTTCAGGAAGGCTTTGATGATGAAATTTGGCCAAAAACGTTGTGGCTAATTTTATTAAATACATTTTTAGACACTGATGTATTCGTCTTCTTCATTATCCTAATTTTTTGTGAGTACTTCGTCTTTTTATCTATTTAAAATATGTGTTTGTTTATAAATATTGTATTTCCACTTCCATCCATATAGACGGATAACAGTCGGTCTTGATAACAAGTCAGTTCACCTCTACCTTCAACAATTTAACTCTGAGACCAGTATGTACCGTTTCATCCAACTAATCAAATATGAAGGTTGTTATTATCCGACTGTCTCGCTCCATTTTTCCTCCTCGTTAATGCAGCTGTCTCTCTTGCGACCGCTACTGTTGTTCCGCCTCTTATTAAATTGCAGCAGCACTTTAATAAGACCAGCTAAACAATTATTGGACCCGGTCTCCTCACACGTATGAAATCGCCGGGTTTTAGAATTAAAATTGGAGAAGGAGGGCAACTCGGTAAATATGAAGTGATCTTTAAGAAATGTTTCCAAAGTAGACAATGTAGAAAATCATATATGTCGAAGCGTATAATATTTCTTTGGATTTAATTCAGAGGCGTTCGTAGATATCACCGACATTTCTCGTAACTCTTTGTCAGTCATGGTCTATTTCAGAAACATTTTTTGGCTACATAAATTCACTTGATTATTAACTCTAACCCCTTTACAGAACGTACCTAGGTGTATTGTAGTAAAAGGCCTCAATAAAGAAAAAGAAAAGTACAACGTCGAACGTACTCTGTAATTCTGTGAAGTATGTATTCTGTGTTAATACCTGAGAAATGTCAGATGTCAGTCACTGCTAACGCTGTCAGTGCTGTCAAAATCACAATGATTTTTAGGTTATGATTACGAAATTTATTTTCAATATTTTCATACTGTATATATTGTAGAAGACGAGAAAACTTTTAAATATATTAAATATTAAATTTTTAAAAGTTTTATCCTTATTATTAAATGTCTACCTTTAATGCTTGTAAATGTCTTTCTATGTTATCACAAACCCTAAACTAGAATGAAGACCACCAGATCACTAGAGATATTTACGAGAAAAACACAATTTTGCACCTGAAAAACGTTAGGGCGCCATTGTAATAAGTAATAATTATCCAGGTCGGACCCCGGGATAATGTTGCAGGTCGAGCCCCGCGACAATTTTATAAAAAAATAAGACCTTTCAATATCACATTTCTAAAAAAAAGGTCCCCCCTTTTGTGCTTTTGTAGCGAAACTCTACAAAAATAAAAACCGTCCTCACTAAAGCTGCTGGGCCCGGCTACGACCCCCTTTCGTCGGCCCTGACTGTAGACCAGTGATTCGATACATAGCCAAATTTCGTGCCTACCATATATGTAATTAATTGACATCCATTAAAAGGTCAACGTTGCCAAATTGCACAGAAAGGGTTAGAAGAGTATGAATACTGCTCTCATTTTGTGTCTGTCTATAAAACTTTACCGCACTAGTGTGGTAAAGTTTATATCACTACGACATTCAACAGGACGACATAAGTTTGATGACATAATGTTACTCTCTGATCAATCGTTATTTGCTTTTACTATTTTACGATGTAGTGGCTATGTTGTAATATTTTCGCTCATTTCAGATTTTTCAGTTTTAATTGCGAATGAATATTACTATTATTATTACTCGGGTTTTCAATAAATTTAGTTTCGACGGCTATACCATAAATGTCTTCGCCAATCAACTGTGTAATTACAGATAGATTGTTGGTCTTTCGTAGTTTTGTTAAAGCAATTGCAGCGATGAAAAGACCAACGGCAATCTTTATGAAAAAGATAAAAAGCCTTTCAAGTGCTTGGCTTAATATTAGTATCTATTCAGCGCTCTGCCCCTTTCATTTTCTGATTAGTGTAATTGTGTAATGTAGCAGGAATGCGCGGAAGTATTATGTTTTGCAAATAAAAAATACGGAATAGGCCGCGAGATAATTGAGATAAATTGAGAATTGAAACTTTTAATCCTGCAAATAATGCGCCAGTAATTGTTCTTAGATAGATAAGGACCTGATAATCCCATATGAAAACGTTTGTATTAACTTAATCAACATAATCATTCTACAGCATGACATACTGAGTGAAGCAAAGCAAAGTATTTAAACAAAAAGTTGAAAGATTTTACTTTTGAACAGATGCTGCGATCAGAATAGATACTCTTTGTTTACATTAAGTTTCATCGTATCATAATCCTGACGAGGCGATATTTACATCTTGACTTGCCTCAAAAATATTGTATTAAATTTTGTTTAAAATATTTAATAGTATTCTCGATTCAAAAAAGAAAAAAAAAACAACGAATTGAAAGCATTAAAATGAGTTTTATTTAGTGATTTTACATTTTAAATTTGGCTTCGTAAGACATTTTGTTGACATCATCAAGTGTGAGAAAAGTTATATTGTAATTTTTTTTAACAATATATAACGCCATCGATTTTTTTTTAATGAAAGGGTATACTTAATATCAAAAATTAAAAGCTCATATTTTTCTGAATTCAACCATCGACGACATCATACCTTGTAAGGGGTAAAAAGTAATGATTTGAAAAAAAAATTAAAATAAAAGCTTAAAGTTCAAAAACGATTAACTCGTATGATAATAGAGCGTTCTCACGCTTTATTAACGCCCTGTATAATAAATAATTAACCTAAAACCTCTTGTATAGCGATAACACTGGAATGAAGTAACTTGGCTGTGAAAAAAAAATGTTGATTCAAATGTACCAAATATGATTATCAGCTATTCACCAAATTTATGATTATGGAGTATATTAATCAAATAAAATTATACGAAAGTACTATACTGTCAGTAAGTACGTAGAATTTGGGTAGAAAATAGGATGTTGGAAGAAGGCTAGAGCCAGAAGCTCAATGAATTATTATAGAAAGAATCAATCCCACCAAAATAATGTTTAAAGCTTGGATTTATAGGCAACAAAAATTGAAGAAAAAGCTGCTTATACAGGGTGTTATTGAAATACACGTACATATTAAAATGGGGAATAGTATGTAATGACCAAAAACGATTGGCACCAATTTTAACTTCAAATTCTAAAATTTAAATATTGGGGAAGAGTCCCCTTTTCCGACCTACTAGTTTCCATATTTAAAGAAGTAAAATAAATCGAAATTGAACTTACCCATAGAAATTGCACTGTTGCCGTAGCAAAACCAATTAATTCAAAATAAAGTTTATTACAGTAATTGTTCAAAATGCCGTCCATTATTATTTACACACACTTGCAATCGTCTTTCCAAAGAACTTTGAACATTAGAAATTAGTCTTGGATTTTGTCGTAGTTCCTCGGCTACCGCATTAACTTTATTGGTTAATTGTTCAACACTATTAATAGGTTCATTATAAACCAGTTGTTTCATGTGACCCCACAAAAAGAAATCGCATGGATTTAAGTCCGGAGATCTCGG